ACTGAGGCAAACAAGGTTAAGTGACATGCCCAGGGTCACACAGTGTCTGAGACCAGATTTGTACTCAGGAAGCTGAGTCTTCCTGGCTCCAGGCCCAACACTCTATGCGCTATGGCACCACCTAGCTGCTGTTCTATATGTATATGTATATGTGTGTGTGTGTGTGTGTGTGTGTGTGTGTGTGTGTGTGATATTCCCCTATTAGAATGGAAGCTCCTTGCAAGCAAGGACTGTCTTTACTTTTGTATTTGCATTCCCAGCCCTTAGCACAGTGCTTGAATTCATGAATTCATGAATCCATGTAGTCATTGTCTAGATTATAACATGCAATTAGATGGCAATCAATGTGTGTGTGTGTGTGTGTGTGTGTGTGTGTGTGTGTGTATGTGTGTGCACGCGCGCACATCCTATCTATTTGGGGATTTGTTCAGTGAAGTTTGGATTCAGTCAAAGGGCTGCACTTGAAGACCTAGAGGGCCATATGTGGTCTTGAGGCCGCAGGTTTCCCATCCCTGCAGTAGGTGCTCAGACAGAAAATTTAACAGTTGCCTCCTGCAAGTCAGTTCAAGCTGGCTCCAGCACCCCCCTTGGGAGACTCACAGTGGTGAATTTGTGAGAGGACATTGACAAGAGCAGCACAGGATGAGCAGATATGATAGATTGTGATCTGCATAGTTGATGAAAATAGCCACATTGATGAACTTGCAAATTCATTCATATTTCTTTTAATATGATCTCCCTGATGAAATCTGAAATAAAACTCCAAAGAAAAATGACACAATAGCAAAAGAAGTAATTTTATTCTATTCTAAGATGTTTCGTTTGGGACTTTGGACCTGGCCTGTAATTTTGTTGGCACTGGGAACTCCCAGTGAGGAAACTCCCTCTACCAACGCTGGGTTGGCAACTATTCTGCAATTTAGAGTATTAATAGGTCAAATGACCTGCTCAGGGTCACACAGGATGCCTTAGATGCAGAATTGGAACCCAGTTCTTCCTCAGTCCGAAGCAATCTCACTATTCACTACATCATGCTGCCTCTATTATAAGATGCTATAAGCTATATAACATTAATAATAATAATAGCAATAACTTACATTTCTATAGTGCTTACTATGTTCCAGGCACTAAGCACTTTACAGTTATCTCATTTGATCCTCACAACAACCCTGGGAGGTGAGTGCTATTATTATCTCTGTTTTACAGGTGAGGAAACTGAGGTAAACAGAGGTTAAGTGACTTGCCCAGGGACACATAACTAGTAACTGTCTGAGGCTGGATATGAACTCAAGTCTTCTTGACTCAACATCCAAGTGCAGATCATGCTTCAAATCTAGTGGAGAGAGTAGCAACAATAACACATCACTTTAAGAAAAGAAGGTTTTTAAACATTTCCTTCTCAACAAATCTATGAGGTAGGTAGTCTAAGTATTATCATTCCCATTTTCCTGATGATAAAAATGGTACTGCAAGGGGTAAAGTTATTTGCTCACAGTCACATACCTAGTAAGTGGCAGTGCATCTTCCAGCTTCCAATTACATTGCTCTTTCGATTTTACCAGACTGCCTCTTGAGAGTATAAACTACCGTCAGCTCCAAACCTATGCTTTCAAGTGGAGCCATAACTAGGAAAAGGCCATTCAGGCTTTCTGTAAGGATACTGACATCAAAGTGTATATCCCACTCCAGGGGTATATACTTCTCCAATCAGACCAGAGAGAGCCCTCCTTTCACTTCAATAAAATAGCATCCCAACATTTTTGGTTTCTCTGCCCACCTGTACCAAGTAAGACAACGCCTCTCCCTCACCTATACTCACTCCCAGGGGTTTGTCAACAAGGTGCCCCCTTTTCATGGACCTTCCTTCCATTCCAGATCTGCAGGAGAAAAATATTTAAATTTATAACTCTACTCTTAAGTTAGTCTTTCTTCATTTAAAAAAAAATACACAAAAGAGAATAAAAAAATTCAGAAGGGACATGAACAAGCAATTTTGTTTCTACTATATCAAATTTAATATATACTTTAAAAACAAGCTGTATGTAACAAAACTCACAATTTCTTTTCATGTGCCATCCTTCTTTATGTTCTTTGTGTATTGAAATGTTCATATTTGTTGCTATTTGTCAAGTGTATAAATAAAAAAGAAAATTTACATAAAATAGTCTTCTAGAAAAAAACAAAATATGATTTACTGTGTTTAGATGTATCAAGTGTTGTGCAGAGACAGGTTACAAGATTATAAAAAATACAGACATACTTTTAAGCATATGATAATGCAATACAGATAATCATGATGAAAAACTGAAAGAAGCATAGAATCTTGGGAAGAACCCTAGAATTCATAAGAAGTGATTCTAGCCCCAGCTCTACCTCCTATATTTCCTCTGTGATCAGTAGCCCTTCTGGGCCTCAATTTCCACATCTGTAAAGTTGGGATAATAATACCTTTCCTGCCTAATGAGGAGCAAATAAGGGATGCTTTGAAACAGGTAAAGCTTTAGAAAGACACGAGTTATCAAACAACATGTTCCAAGTAAAGCTAAAGACTGAATTTGTTATTGTTGAATCATTTTAGTTATAGCCAATTCTTTGTGACCCCATTTGGGGTTTCCTTGACAAAGATGCTGGAGGGGTTTGCCATTTCCTTCTCCAGCTCATCTTACAGGTGAGGAAATGACAAACAGGGTTAAATGACTTGCCCAGGGTCACACAGCCAGTGAGCGTTTGAGGCTAGATTTGAGCTCATGAAGATGAGTCTTCTTGATTCCAAGCCCAGCGCTCTATCCACTACACCATCTCACTGCCTGAATAGCAAATAACAAATAAATCCCAAACTTGACACCTTTCCTACCCTCCCTCCCACCTTTGCATTTTTTCTCCCCTGATGTTCATGCTTGGTGTGGATAGCATAGTGGAGTTAAAATCAAGAAGACTGTTTAGTCATGTTCAACTTTTCATGACCCTGTTTGGGGTTTTCTTGGCAAAGATATTGGAATGGTTTGGCATTTCCTTCTTCAGTTCATTATAAATGAGGAAACTGAGGCAAACAGGGGTAAGTGACTTGCCCAGGGTCACACAGCTAGTGTGTCTGAGGCTGAGATTTAAATTCAGGTCTTCCTGATTCCAGGCCCAGTGCGCTATCCACTGAGCTACCTACCTGCCCCAAATCAGGTAAACCTAAGTTCAAATCCTGTTTCTGATACTAACTAGTTATGTGACTATGGGCTTACCTTTACTTATCTTTCTGAGCCTCAATTCTTCATCTTCAAAACTTAGTAGGGTTATTGTAAGGTTCAAATGAGATGATGTATGTGAAGTCCTTTGAAAAATTCAAAGTGCTATAATAAATGTCAGCTTTTATTATTATTTTTTGTTTTACCTGATTTTCTTCCGTGTAGGGAACTCCTGGGGAGAAAACTTCCTCCTCAATTCAGATAAGCAATTTGTGCAATTTATAGGCCTGAAGACAAGTGGTACATGTGGTTTGACTGCCAGCATATTTTACCAGGGTCAGAGGCTCCTCTGATGCTGGTGATCTGATCACTGATTTTTTTTTTCCCCAAACCTCTCACCTCTTCTCATGTCTTTCTAAGCATGATCCAGGTTCCCTTTCATATTACTACCCTTCTTGTTCTCTCCATTCCAGACTCTCTGGTCTATTAGCTGTTCCTTCTTTAACTAGCTTTGTGTGAGTTTGTGCATCTCCCCCAGGATTAGAGCCTCAGGCACTAGTATAAAGGAGATATACCCGGGAGATCAGAAACCACTGGGGAAGGGCGTTTTTCTGATATCATGAGCATGATGTCCTGACTTGCACGTGAATCAGATTTGAGTGAGGCAGAGCTGCACAAAGTCGTCAGCTTTGCTCTCTGCTCCAGAGTCATAGGAATCCAGTGGCAAGACAAAGGTCAAGACAACTGGCGATGGTCCAGGATCTCTAGAAGTTAAGGAAGTCTTTCCTTATGTTGCACCAAAATCTACCTCCTAGTAATTTCTACCCATTGCTCTCAGTTCTATCCCCTAGGTCCAAATGACACAAGCATCATTTTAATCTTTGTACAGATATGTCTTTGCCCAGCCTACAGCAGCATGTTCTCAGTACGTGTTTGTGGAATCGAATTCCCCAGTCTTTCTTTCAAACGCTTGAAGACAGCTTTCCTGTCTTCTCTAAGTATGAATTCTCTTCTCTCTCTGGCATAAACATCATCAAATCCTTCAATCCATTTATCCATGGCATGGTGTGAAATTCTTTCCATATCCTGGTTACTTTCCTCTGGATATGCTTCTCCAATTTATCACTATCCTTCCTAAAAACATGTTGCCTAGACCTAAACACAGGGCTCCTAATGTGTTCTGCCCAGGGCAGAGGGCTTTCTCACTCAGGATGCTCTGCTTCTCTTAATACAACCAAAGATTACATTAGCTTTCTTGCTGCTGAGTCACACTATTGACTCATTTGAACAGTCAGTTCACTAAAACTCCCTGGTCTTTTTCACATAAACTTTGTCTAACCATGTCTCCATCATCCTCTATTTGTGCAGATGCATTTTTGAACCAAAATTTAGGGCTATAAATGTATTCTTTTGAGATTTTATCTTGGAATTCCCATCCCAGGGCCAAGCTGTTCATACCACTGAGTCTGAATACTAAATACTGTAGCCCTCAATATTCCTATCTGCATCACTCATGTGCCACATACATTTTCATTTGAAACAGTCAGTCAATAAGCATTTATGAAGCACCTACTATGTGTTGGGCACAGTCCTAAATGCTGGGAAATACAGAGAAACAAAATCAGTCCCTTCCCTCAAGGAACTCACAGTCTAATGAAGAAGTACCATGGGAGGTTGGTTAAAATAAATCACGTAACTAGAAAATTGCCTTCTGGTTGATATGTCTAGTTGATGATCTAGTTTGATAATGTAGGATGGATAATCTGTTGGCTGTCCTGTGTCCCAGCCGTGTGTGCAAAATAGCTCTTCTTCATTCCCTTTCAGGCTGTATTCCTGACTCTTCTGGACTTTCTCTACCATGCCCCTGAAATCTCTTCATCCTCAAAACTCACCTTACCTCTGGACTTCACACATTGGAAGTATCCTTAGACCTTGGAACTCTCTTTTTGATTGCCTGGTTCCTTCCAGAACTTCCATTTTGAGGAGAAGGCCCAGGCCAGCCATGTCTTAATTCTTCTCTAGGATACACTCCTGACTCTCCCAGACTTTATAATTCCACCTTCACACACACACACACACACACACACACACACACAAACACTCCTTCCCCACCTAGCTTGAGTACAAACACCCAAACAGAATAACTAGAAATATGATGATAATGTCTCCTCTTTGGGTTGGTTTCTAGTGATTCTAGTGTGCAATGTATATTGTTTTACCAAATTTCTGAAAATTGCACAGTTCCAGCAAAACTGCTGAAGTAAAATTGCTGCAGTTAAAACGTGATGGATGTATTAGAGCAATCCTCTAAAAAACACCAGTTTTTGTAAGTAAAGGGGAAAATCAAAATTGTTATGAAGTATCCTGTAAGTGGAGGGGAACCTATCTGATATCATTCTTGATCATAAAGCTCTTATTGACAGCAAATGGCCTAACTCTTTACTCTAAATGACCTGTAATTTTGTTAGTTTCAAAATAAAATTGAGCTGAAAACATGAGTTCTTTTTTTTTTAAGTCCAGTATTATTTAGTGGTAGGCATTATAAGAGCATTGAAAATTTTTTTACTGCGAGGATATTTTTGTTGTTCAGTTGTTTCAGTCATGTCTGATTCTTCATGACCCCATTTGGGGTTTTCTTGGCAAAGATACTGGAGTGGTTTGCCATTTCCTTCTCCAGCTCATTTTACAGAATGAGGAAATGAGGAAACTGAGGCAAACAACGTTAAATTACTTGCCCAGGGTCACAGCTAGTGTCTGAGGCCAGAACTCAGGAAGATGAGTCTTCTTAATTCCAGGTCAGGTACTCTCTTCACTGTGTTGCCTAGCAGCCCTGGGAGGATATTATCAGAATTTTATTTTATATGAAGTATGTTACCCAGAGCCATAACTAGTAAACTGAACCTAGAAAAAATTCAGCTGGAGGCCAAGGGGCAGACAATAGCAGACAATTGGATCATAAGTGCAGTCTCATTAGAAGAAGGGGTTATATCCTGCAGAGTATCTGGGCCTTGCCACTATCGAGGGTTTGGAGGGAAGTTAAACCCTGGGAGAGGGGAACCATGATAAGGGAGGAGACAATACATGTGGAAGATTTCAGCTATGAACAAGATGAAGGAGCCCTATGGTCCTTAAGGTACAACAGCAAGACAGATCGTAATTTCTCTTCTTTAATGTCATTTTCACTGATAAAATTATGTCAGTGTCTGATGTTAAGCCATGTGGCAATGCCAAGAACTTTGGTGGCAAAAACATTCTTTTCTGGGTCTTCCACAGTTGTGTCTGTAGTGCCTGCAGGAGTAATTGCCAGGCTGCCTCTCCCATGATGTGACCAAGGACACTGGACTGGAAGCTTTGCTATTCCCAAGGCTCTTGGATTCTGGACTGTTTCCATGAGGTCTGAGCAGAGATGGTGGTCAGTGTGGTGGTGCTACTCTGACTCACCTGGCAACTTCAAAGGTCAGCTTCAAATCCCACCTTCTTTGTGAAGCCTTGTCTACTTCTTCTAGTCCTCACTGATTTGCCTTCTTGTTCTCAGTTCTAATAGTATGGTTCACATCAGTCAATTTAACTATATATTCTCTTATATTGCTTTCATTTATTTCAAGAATGGTATTTTCGTCTACCAACTAGACTGTAAGCCTCTTGAGGTCAGGGCCTTGCTTTGTACAATTGTCTGTATGCTCCATAATGTATAGCACAAGATTGGCCTTAGCTTAAAAAGGTCTTCCACTGTATCCCGGGCAGTCTCCAGTTGTCCTGATCTACATCTGGCCACTGGACCCAGATGGCCCTGGAGGAAAAACTGAGCACAGTCTCAAATTCACTCAAATCCAATTCACTTGCAAGTCATGGATTCATCTTCCTGATGTCATGGTCCTCTTCGAGAACAAAGGACAAACCACACAAGCACAAGACTGAACAGAGAGTAGGAGATCAATAAATGTTTACTGATAGATCTTGAGTGTTTTCTTCTTAAAATTTCCTTAAAGAGAAGGATTTTGGAAAACAGTGTGCTTCAGAGGGAAGTGGAATCTCAGGGACAAATGGGAAGGTTGACAGAACCCAAACTCAGTATGGTGCCATGGGAAGTGTACTGGATTTGGCATAAAGGACCTGGGTTTGAATTCTAGCTCTACTACTTGTGTGACTATGAGTGTAATTTCTCCTGCCAGGGTCTGTTTCCTCATCTGTAGAATGGAAGGGTTGAACTCAAAGGTCCCTTCCAGCTCTAACTAGTAATCCTGTGATCCTGAATGACGGTACTGAAATGTAGAGAGTAGAAAAATTTCAATACTGATTTTCAAAAGATAGTGCGATTTTTATTTACATTTACGTGAAGTTAGCAAAAATCACTAGTTAAAATAAGAAGCTACCAGATGGAATGTTTCCTCTCTGCAGGTGGTTATGATCTATTTGAGCTCCTCCCAGACCTAGTCCAGCCCAGCTGCCTGACCCTACCTGGCAGACCTGCCATGTACAAACTTCCCATCAGGGGCTTTTAGGTGCTCACTCTCTCTCTCTCTCTCTCTCTCTCTCTCTCTCTCTCTCTCACACACACACACACACACACACACACACACACACACTTATGTGGGTAGGAAGAGTATCCTTAAGGTCTCATTTCCCACTCAACTGATTTGTTTTAATTATTTCTTTTATTCTTTTTATATAATCATTAACATTTATGTAGAATTTTACATATATTATCTTGTATATATAGGATGTCCCAAAATTCTTAGTGTAGTTTCAAGCTTTAATAGCAGGCAACCAGATGGTAAAGGTATGCAGTGCTGAACTTTGAGTCCAGACGACCTGAGTTCAAATCCAGCCTCAGAAACATACCAGCTATATGACCATGGAGACATTATTTAACCTCTCCCAGACTCAATTTGTCTTTAAAATAGGAATAATAATAGCACCTCTCTCATAGATTGTTGTGAGGATAAAATGAGATAATGTTTGTAAAATTCTTCCCAAACCTTAAAGTGCTAATATAAATACTAGCTATCATCATCACCATCATCATTGTTATTATTAGTATTATTATTGTTATTGGGCAGCTATTTGGCCCAGTGAATAGAGTACTGGGCCTGGAGTCAAGAAGACTCATCTTTCTGATTTCAAATCTGTCCTCAGACACTAGCTGTGGGCAAGTTGGTTAACCCCGTTTGCCTCAGTTTCCTCATCTGCAAAAATGAGCTGGAGAATGAAATGGCAAACCACACCAGTTTCTTTGACAATAAAACACCCGATGGGTTTACCAAGAGTAAGACATGACTGGATAATAATAGCATTATTATTATCTCATCTGAACCTCAGAATAATCCTGTGAAGTATGTACTGTTATTATTACCATTTTAAGAATGAGGAAACTCGGCTTTGGAGATAAAATTACTTGCCCAGGGCCACACAGCTAGTAAAATCCTAGTAAGGGTCTGAGGCAGAATTGAAATCCGAGTCTTCCTGACTCCAAGTCTAGTGCTCTATCTAATATTCCACACTGATTCCCTGACAGTTATTATGATGGCTTATTATCCCTTCTCTCTCTACGTGCTAAAATTGATCTGAAGGCCATCATATTGGGCGAAGAGGCCTGTATTACTTTTCTTCTTTGAACCAAATATTTTATATTCTCTCTATATATATTTTATATATATATATATATATATACATATATATATATATATATAAATACAGAAACATACACAAACACATTTTATATAATATATATATATATTATATATATATATATATCTGTCATTTCCTCATAATTTCCCTTCCTCCAATGGAATCTTCCCTTGCTACAAAGTACTAAACAAAACAAATAAACACATTGGTCATGTCTAACAATATATGCTTCATTCTGTACCTATTTTCCATCACCCTTCTATGAAGACGAGGGAATCCTGCTTCTCTGTCAGTCTTCTGAAATCATAATTGGTCACTGTGCCGATAAGAGTTCTGATGTCTTTTAACATTGTTTTCCTTTACATTGTTTAGATGTTCTCTCAGTGCTACTCACTTCATTCTGAATCAGTTCCCACAAGTTTTCCCAAGTTGCTTTCACTTTTCCACAGCCAACATTTTATATGGCCCAGTATGGGTGTCCCAAAAGTCTTAGTGCAGAACCGCATGCTATTAAAGCTTAAAATTATACGGAGATTTTTGTGACATCCTATATATTCATATGACACAATTTGTTTAGTCATTCCCTAGTGGAAAGGCACCCACTTTGTATCCAGTTCTTTGTCACTTGCTATTCTAGCCATACAACATTTTGTCTCCCATTTCTATGCCTTAGTGCAGACTGGCTCCCACATCAAGCATGCACTCCGTCTTCCTCCCCTCTGTCTCTTAGAGTCCCTCATCCCATTCAGGACTCAACTTAAGGACCACCTCTTCAAGTAGCATTCCTCCAGGGCCCATGCCTGGGAAGACTTTCCATGGCTCTAAGAAATTACTTAAATTTATTTTCTATATATTTTTCATTTTCATATCTTTATACATATTTTTCTTTCCTTCTCCCTTCCATCAGTAGAAATAAATTTCTAGAGCACAAAGACTATTTTCATTTTTGTCTTTGTCCACATTAACTAATACAGAGCCTGACACATGGTAAATGCTTAAGAAATTGAATTACTATAACAAAAGGTCCTTTTTGTCTGTCTTTGAGAAAGGAAGCTCATTTTGTGATTAGCAAAGGAGAAGGATAGCTTGGGAATAAGCAGTAAGGAGGAAGCTTCTACTGATGCATGGCTTTGTTCCTGAGAAGTCAGTGACATCTTCAGCTGCTGAGAACAAGGAAAAGGGGGGGATGGAAGGTGGGGTCATAAAGAAAGCACTGGATGTGGAAGCAGAAGGACATGGTTTTGAATCCTGCTTCTTCCATTTATTACTGGTGTGACCTTGGCAAGTCACTGTACCTCTCTGGGACTCTATTTTCTTGTCAATTAATCAAACATCAAGTATTTTTTTTTATTTTGATAATTATTTTAATTTCTTTTCATAGAACAAAAATCTATTTTATCTCCTTCCCATCTTCACCACCCCTTCCCAGTTTTCCATGGGAAAAGGAAGAGAAAAACAAAACCTGTGTAACAAATATAAATAGTCGAGCAGAACAAATCAGCCCATTGGCCATATGTATGTCTCATTCTGAACTCTGAGACCATTACCTCTTTTATCATGGGTTGCCTAGAACTGAGGCTGGTCATTGTGTTGTTCATAGTTCTAAAGTCTTTGAAAGTTGTCTTTACAATGTTTTTATGGCTGTGTGATTTGTTGGTCTCATTCTGCTCACTTGATTCTGTATCAGTCCATACAAGTCTTCTCAGGTTTCTCTAAGGCCATCTCTTTTGTCATTCCCTATGTCACAACAGTATTCCATTATATTCACATGCCACAATTTGCTTAGCCATTCCCCAATTTGATGGGCACCTCCTTGGTTTCCAGTTCTTTGCCCCTACGAAAAGTTGCAAAGTGTTTTATAACTACTTTAATTAGCACATAGGATGCCCTATACAGCAATAACAGAAACAATAACACTTGAAAGGCTTAAAGATTGAGATGGCCCTATGGCAAGGCTGAAGATTTCAGTCTCTAGGTTGGGATCTTTGTTATGTGGATGGTATATCACTGAGTGCGTAAGTACAGTCCTGCTCTTACCACGCTTGACTAGAAGAATTGCAACTCGGCCCATGTAGATATGGATGAAGTGCTTAGTTTCATGTGTCACATGACTGCCAAAACCTCTTCCCACAAATCAGTTCCTGGTGGGATTGTGTTTCTTTTCAAACTTCTCTTTGATATGGACTACTATGTCCTTTTATATGTTATACTTCTCCAAGGCTTAATAGCACACTCCATAGAGTCCGATTGCATCTCCTCTGATGTGTCTGAATTTTTTATTATGGCCTTGAGGTCACACATGGTGTGCCTCAAGTATGAAGAACTGGGGGCTTTGACAGGCCCCAGCTGGTAAGGACTCAGGTGCTCTGACACAGCAGGTCCTTTTGCTGCCAAAACATGTCTCCATCAAGTATTTATTATGCACCTGGAATGGATCAGGCACTCTGTTAAGCTCTAGAGACACAAAGAAAGGCCAGGTCCCTTTCCTCAAAGAGCTCACCTTCTAAAGTGGGAGAAAGATAGGAGTGGTGATGCACCCCTTTAATCTCTTCTACAGAGAGGCTAAGGCTGGTGGGTCACTTGAACCTGGGAGTTCTAAGCCATTTGGATATCTATACTAACTCTATCGCCAATGGAGTGAACCGCCAGATGCTATGTGTTGGACTGAGGAGAATGGGACTAAGCTGATTAAGGGAGGAGTGAACTGGCCTAGCTCGGAAACAGCAGGTGCAAATCAGTAATGAGTTCATCCATGAGTAGTCTCGGACCTTCCAGCCTGTGTGAGATGGGGAGCGCTAGCCTCAAAATAAATAAACACGTAAATAAAAATAAAGGAGAAAACAACATGTAAATGAATGGGTACATACAAGATACATACAGAGTATATGAAACTAGATAACTTTAGAAGGAACTGGACTTGATCAGAGGTATCAAACATGCAGCCTGAAGGCCACATGTGGCAGCAATACTCCCTAGCACATCTTGAAACAGATTGAAATGTATTTGGGAATTATTTAGAAAAATAAATAATAATACATAGATAACATTGTATTTTAAAACTAAGTCAATATGCAGTCCACAGGTATCCTTATATATGGATTAGTGACTCCCATTTCTATTTGAGTTTGATACCACTAGACTAACAGACCTCTGCATTTCCTTCTAATTCTAAATCCTAAGAATAAAGAAAGATCTTTTGAGTGAAAGAAAAATAGTTGCACTATCAGGTAAAGGAGATGAATCTATATATCCTGGAGAGAAAAGATATTTAGAGAATCAGCTTGGGCCCCACTATACATGCCAGTCTTCCTTCAGAGGGGTAAGGAAGATGCTCTGCTTATTTTTTAAATTCCTGTGTAGGTAAGAAATGAATCCCACGGGCATACCTCAGAGCTTGCTAGTGACTGGTCACCAGACTGAGCCACTGTCTGAGCTTGACTCTGCAGCATGATTCCAGAGCCCTCTGTTGCCATAACAACTGGATTCCAGTTTTAAAAATAGTAACTTATTTTTCATGCAACATCTTTTGCCCTCAGAACCAAAAATTTTTTAAAAAATCTATTTTTGTGCTCGATCTTCATTTTAGGTATCCCCTCAGGTATCCTCCCTAGCATAGTACCAGGGCCTGCCCTGATTCTCCTAAAGAAAAAAAAATGCTTAGGATGATATGTTAAGTTGTGTTAAGTAACAGGAAAGGAGTAGTGGGATAACAAGGGAGAGGGAACTCTCAGGGGAACTGTCAGCAAGGCTCCTCAGCTTCTCTCATTGGAGACAGTCCTAACACCATTTACCTGCCTGTCTGCTGTCTGTGAGCTGATGCTAAGGCAAAGATCTTTGATCCACAGGGACTGGGGCAAGACTACCAGGAGAGAGAAGGCAGCCAAGTGGGTTAGTATATAAGCCTTTTACTTTTGTTAACCAGAATGTTGACTCTCCTTTGAAATTTGGGGAGAGGAACTGAGTCAGAGGGAGAAGGTATTGATGTCGGTTAAAAACGGAAGCCTTGGATTTTTTTCTCCATCGTGCCTTACCAAGTGAAAAGCTGGACTATAGTAGCAGGTGTGCTTCTAGGTCAGTGGAAGGTGTGTCTGCAGAGTAGGTGGCCCTCAGGAGTAAAACATCTGGAGAGAGGGACTGAGGTACAACAGTAGATAGTCCAGAGAGAGCATCATGGGAGATTGAGTTATGCCTAGTCCTCTCTTCTACTTTCTGGGTGAATAAGATGTGCATAGATGTCCAAAAATCAGAAAGAAAAAGATTGGTTTCATGAGAACAACACTGAACTGAAAGTCAAGAGAGCTGGTTCTAGAGCTGGCTCTGGCACCAATTAGCTGGGTAACCTTGTCCAAGTCACTTAAACCTCCTGGAGCCCCAGTTTTCTACTCTGTCAAATAAGAAGATCCTACTAGTAAAAGAATGTTAGCTTGAATTCATATAGCACTTTTACAGACTTCAAAATACTTTACCCATGACAATCCTGTAAGCATCACTATAGAAATTGAATGGACTTTAGAGGACATGTAGTCCTATCTGGAGAAACTGAGGTATAGGGAAACTAAGGAATTCCACCAATGGTCATATAGACAAGAAGTGTCAGGAGAAGAATTTGAAACCCAGAGGCTCTGACTCTCTCCACTACATCATACTGCCTTGCAATGAGGTGGACAGTTCAAGGATACAGATAAGAAAACTGAGGCTCAGAGATGCTAAATAACTGGTCAAAGTCATAAGGTGGTGAGAAGCAGAGCTGGTTTTCCAGCCTTGGCTTTCTGATGCCAAGATGTTTTCTAAGGTTCTTTCCAGCTCTAATAATTTATTATTTTATGGTACTTCATCACTAACAACTTTGTCCCACCTCTGCCTCCATAAATCCATGTTCACTCAATGACTTAGGGGGAAAACATTTTGGAGAAAAAAACCTTTCTGTTTCTTCTTCAGCCTCCTCTATCTAGCACTTTAATTTGGAGAATCCAACAAAGAAACATCTTCTCTTTAAGGGGAAGAATTTGAGATCTCAGAAAGCAAGCTGAAGCCCCAGCTCTGAGGTTAGAAGACCTGTGTGAAATCCCGCCTCTGACAATACCTTTGCAACCTTGGGCAAGTTGCTTAACTTCCCTGAGGAAACCTTGTTTCCTTTTCTGTAAAATGAAAAGGTTGGACTAAATATTGGAAAGTCCCTTCCGGCTCTGGATCTGGGTTCTAGATTCTTTGACTTCTCTTAAGCTTGTTTTCTCATCTGTAAAAATGAACATAATACTCATTTTACCAACTCACTGCTCTCATATGTGTATGGGGGATGGGGATTAGATAATACATATTTATAGCAGCTTTTTGTAAACTTGAAAGGCCTGTGTGTATGTTATTAGCAAATATAAGGAGGAGGAACACTGGGGAAAGGAGATCCATAAACCTAAATTTAAGACTAATTCTAATGGACCCCAGATCTGGGCAGTTGCAGACTTTGAATTAAAAGAAGTGGGGAAAAATTCAGCAAAGATTTGTTCAGATTTTTAAAAATATAAATAGAGATGGCAGGCTGTCATCTCTCCTACAAAGCCCTTCACCACTCAGACCCTTTCCTGATTTCTTTTCAGTTTTTTTGGCTAAGGAGGTCGGTCTTACTAGCACTCCCTGCCCCCTACTCCACGCCACTCACCCCTTGTCAGCCTCCCCCTTCACCCTTCTACCCCCCCCACCTCACTCTGCTCAGGCAGAGCTAGTCCTCAGGCAGGGGATATGTCAGACACTGAACTCATCCTCCACGTGTTCTCTAAACCGGGATGAGGCAGCTAATATTGCGGGGTGAGCAAGGGCGACCCCTCAAGAGCTGTACAGGCAGAACAGGCTTTGTTCTGAGCTGATCCTCGGTAGGTACCCAACCAACCATCAATCCCATCTGAAGTCATTGTAATGAGGTAGTACGATGTAATGGCAAGATAGGGGGATAAAAATGGGGTCTTGGGGTGAGAGGTTCCACGGAAGGCTGAATTTTCGAGTAGAAGTAGACGCCTGCTCCAGGGGGAATCCCTCTGAAGCAGCAGGTTTTGTCCCCAGCTCGGCCTGAGTAACTGTTGCTTCCCGTCTCCATTCTTTCTGGATCTCCGCGGACGGTTTCCCCTCTGTCCCATGAATCATCCTCTACGCAAGGATGGGCAAAGGTTGGGATTGGGGGTGGGGTAGGATGAGGTCCAAAACCAGGGAGGGGTAAACAGGGACAATGACTTCCAAACTCCCCTCCCCATCAACCTCCGTCTCTTTGAGGGGCCCTGGGAGCGTGCTGTCTCACAGCAGGCAGTCTGCTGGAGAGTGTATCGGAGTAGGGAGGGGCTGCGGGGTAGGAGGGTGCTGTGCAGGGAGCGAAGCCTAACAGATATAGTGTATTGTCAAGAGGAAAAAGAGTTTGCATGGGAGAGATCCATTGCTCCCTCATCCTCACCCCCAACCCCACCCATCTGAACCTAAGCAGCTGACCCTCCGGGGTAGGGGGCTAGACAGAGCTCCTTGCACCACCAGCCCCTGGCTACAGGTCTGGGATGACGAGTATCCCAAAGGCATCTCTACATTTTAAATTTGCATACCCACTTCCAAAGGGCGGGGGTGTGGGATGTTGTGGTTATAGCCCAGCTAAAGCCGCCGGAGATGGCTAAGGCGATCGATTGGACTGGTTACGCTCCTTGGTGTCGATCTGAGGGTAGGGGCGGGGTCCCCCCTTCCTCCCGGGTCCCTCCTCTTTCACCATCTGCTTTGGGATTTGGCTTGGGCTACTAAGCTCCCTCCGGTTCCAGTGTTTTCCCTCCTCCCTTCTCCTCCTGCTCGGTGGAAGGGCCTTTGACAGACTTTCGGGGGAGGGGGAGGAGGGATGGAGATTAAAGAGGGAATTGCGACCCCGAGTGGATACAGAGACAGAGCTGGAGAGGCAAGAGTTGCTCCTCTTCCTTCTACTCCACAAATCTGAGAAAGCATAGTTACCCCCAACCTGCTGCTGAGCGGGCGAACCCGCGCCAAGGATTTTAACCCGCTGCTCTTCTGAATTAAGCTCTTTCCGTCCCTGGTTTGTTTCCTCACTTCCCTCCCCCCTCCCTCCTCCCGCCGTCTCCTCTCCCCTTGCTCCCCCCCTCCTCGGTTTTCTCTCTGTCTTCTTCCAAGTTTCCTTCTTCACTTGCACCAGAGCAGAATTCTGATGGAACTGCAAAGATGTTCGTATCCAGACTCCTGGATTTTCAAAAGACAAAATATGCAAGGTAAAGCTGACATTTGCATGCCTAGCAATCCCCTTCCTCCTCCGCGCCCAATTTCCTTTAACAGTTGGGGTACGGGTGAGGGCCAAGCCTTCCTCACTTCAAGAGAGGAGGAAGACACTTGTGGGGCTGCACCCCAGGGAGTCTAGAATCCTTTGAGAAGAATAGGTTTATCTGGGATGTGAGTGTGGCTCCTATACTCATCCTTTATCTTACTTCCCATCACTCTTAAGAATTTCAAAAGGAAAAATTGTTTAAAACAGGGAGAAAAAAATTCTTTCTGATATATAGAGGGAAGGTATGGGACCTAAGAGAATTATGTTGGATTCAAGAGTATGATTGCCAGGCATAGGAGCAGAGGGAGCTATCCAAAATCGTTTCCTTGAGATCTTGAATTAACTTATGCTTAATTCTCTGGAGCTTGGAGGAGAGGGGAAAAGAGGGGGGAGGGAGAGATATTACCTATTTAGATACCACAAGACTCAAAGAAAACCAAAAGCAGGAGTAAAAATACAGGACAAAAGACATAGGATCCTTCCATAGAACTTCAGACCTTAAGGATACGAGACATGATCAGATTTTGTACATGTCCTCAAAGGTACCATTTTATGTGACGTTCTTGGGAGGATTTCTCTAAAGGTATGGCTGACGTTTTCATCTCTTTGGAAACCCTCAAGAGATTGGAGCGTGCTATTTCACCTGGAAATTGTGAAGGAGTTTTGGGGCATAATTGTGAATCGATGTAAAAATATGTATTCTTACTAAGGAGATGTTCTTAATTCTTCCTGATGTTAAGGGGAAATTAGTGGATAGACAGATCATTCTTTTGTCATTAAGATGCTGTAGTCTGTTGTTTATAAGACAAATTCTTAAAGTGTATCAATGTCTGGTGTTTAGAATGACATCATTGGAAAACTGATTGGAAGCAAGTGAAGTTTCTTCCACTGTCACCCAAAGAAAGGTTAAATAATTCTTCTTTCTAGTTAATACCAATAGGAAAACCTCGACAGTATGTTTCTAGAAAAAGTTAGAAAAAATCCTGCTTGGGAAAAGATATTAAATGGGAAACAATCACTTTGCCCAACTTCAGGGTGAGTTACTACTGAACTTCCTGATGGCAGGAGGCAAGAGGTCACAACTGTGGGAATGCCAGAGACGTCTTGTTGTTGATTTGGGGTGGATGTTTCACTAGAAAACTTTTCTTTGGTGTCCTCCATCTAGGTAACAAGACAGAAAAAGTTGGAAAAGTAAAAGGATTGGGCAGTTTTTAGTTGAAATAATTAAGGATTCAAGAGGTGCTGGAGTAGTCAGTCCATAATAACAATGTTTTAACTGCCAGCTATGTTGTATGCCAGGCACTATGCTAAGTGCTGGGGATGCAAAGAAAGGAAAAAGATAAGTCCTTGTGCTCACAGTCTAATGAAGGAGACGACATGCAAATAACTACGTGCAAACAAGATATATGCAGGAGAAACTGGAGATAATCAACAGGAAGAAAGCATTAGAATTAAGGGGGATCAGTAAAGGCTTCCTACAGAAGGTAAGATTTTAGCTGGGAAGCCAGGAAGTGGAGATGAGGAGTGAGAGTATTCCAGGCTTGGGGTAGAGGTCAGGGGTGAGTCTAGTCAATGAAAATTCCCAGAGTTAGGAAATAGAGCAACAGTGTAATAAGGCCAGTGTCACTGAATGAAAGAATGTATGGGAGGTTGGAGATAATCCAGCTTCCTTTGCCCTCCTCCACAATTCTTTTCCTCCTATGCAATTTAGGGGGAGGAAATTGTGAAATCAAAGTAATTACCATGAAATAACAGAATTTTAGAGCCACAAAATGACCTAAGTGAGCATCTAGTCTAAACTTTTTCATCCTTCCCCCATTTTACAGATGAAGAAATTGAAGCTGAGAGAGGGGAAAGTAACATCCAAGGTCATAGAGTGCTAAGTGCTACAGCCTTAAACCCAGATTCTTGACTCCATGTACATCCCTTTGCTTCCTCCTTCTGTTACTTTGCTTTCATAGGTGCAATTTGAAAAGAATTATCTTTCAAAGATCACATACATTTCTGGCCTGTGGTATCTTAGATGCCCATTTGCCTAATGGCACAAGGGAGATATTAAATTAACTAATGGGTTATTCCTAATTCTGTGTTTTCATGATTCTAATAAATATTGTTGGATTGCTAAGAGGGTCCCAGGGAAGTAGGGACTTCCTACTGTTTTGCTAACAAAATGCCCTTAAGCTAGAATATGACCCATAGAGAAGCTGGTGCATGCTTTGTGTTTTGTTGTTGTAGAGGCAAGTAAGAGGCAGCTGTATTTTGATGAGCCCTAGCAACTTTGGAGGTTGCTGGGATGAAGGAGTGTGTCTAGATCAGGCTTATACATCTGGCAAATTGGAGACTAGGACTGGCTGGCTCCCCAGCAGATTTTGCCCGGTGATTGCTTCTCTGAACTGAAGGGAATTGGGATTGCAGCAGCTGAGGGAATGCTCCCACAGTGAAAGGATGTGTTAGAAAGTAATTAAAACACCATCTCTTCTGCGAAACGGATAATGTGTGTGTAGCTACTTTGGACAAAATTGGCAAGTAAGTATCATCACCGTCCTGTCTACTTCCTTTTCCCTGCCTCTTGGGCTACTTTCCCCATCACTCCTACTCTCTATTGCTATTGGTTTCCTCTACCCAGGGAAAGACCTCAACATCAAGTGTTTAGTCCGAGATAATATTGTTGGTTGTGTTCCATCTTTACCATGGGGATTTACATCTGCACAGATGTTAAACTGACATTCCTAAAGCAAAGGTCTAACTGTGTTGCTCTCCTGCTCAATAAACTCCCATAGCTCCCTATTACCTCCAACACAAGTACCAGCTCTTCCTTTTAGCATTTAAAGCCCTTCATAACCTGGCTCCATCTACCTTTCCAGTCTTGTATATATATATTACTCCCCTTCGAGCCCTTCAAACTGGCCTCACTGTCCTCAGATGCAAATCTCCCATCTCCATATCTTTGTGTAGGCTATATTCTATGCCTGCCACGCCCTCTCTTTTCACCTCTACCTCTTAGAATTCCTCATTTCCTTCAGAGCTCAGTTCAAATGCCATTTTCCTGACCTTCCCCCCACACTCGTGCCTCCTCAAATTACTTTGCACTTATTTTGTATATATTCATTTGTTATGTGGAGTTTGCCCTGTAGAATGTAAGTAAGCTTCTGGAGGGCAGGGATAATTTCATTTTTGCCTTTGCATCTCCAAGACCTAGCACAATGCCTGGCACATAGTAGGCACTCAACAAATGTTTATTTGCTTGGTTGATGTTAAACCTCATCTTTAGTTGGAGAATGAAAAGGTTTGTTTTTTCAAAGGAACCCAAACATCCTTGGAGCAGGTAGCCAGGTGGGGCAGGATCTGGGAGGGGGGCCTAAACCCTGGGCATTTCATAGGTCCCAAATGTATTTCATATCACTGCTTTACGTTTTTGCAGATAGAATATGGATGGGACCAGACCTGTGATGTCATCGATGTAGGGAGCTCTTGATGAGGAATTCCGTCTTTCAATACAAGTCAGCACTTTCTATGTAACTTTATTGTCTTAGAAAGTCACCTAGAGCACAGATAAGTTGGTGAGTTTTGCAGGGTCACACTGCTAGTATCAAAGATGGGAACCTGGATCTTTCTGGCTTCGTGGCCAGCTCTGGTTCATCTAGGAGAACTTGCCAAAGAAAGAACCCACCCACCACACCATAATGGCTAGCAAAATAATTCTCTGGACATCAGGCCACACTTATTTCAAGTAAAACACTTGGTTAGACAGCTCTAACCAAGGGGAAAATACACTTAAAGAGAGACATTTTTGAAATGATCATATTAGAAGGGTTTATTAATTAAAGTAATACATTAAAAATATGCATAAGGGTCAGCTAGGTGGTGCAGTGGATAGAGCACTGGTCCTGGACTCAGGAAGACCTGAGTTCAAATGTGGCCTCAGACACATAACACTAATTAGCTCTGTGACTCTGGGCAAGAGTCACTTAACCCCAAGTGCCTCACTAGAAAAAAAAATGCACAAGGCAGGTAGTGTGGAACAGTGACATAAACTGTGGATTGGGAAACAACAGATCTGGGTTGTAGTTTCAGTTCAGGGATGAAGTCAGTGTGTGACCTCAGGTGAATCAATCAACCCATCTGTGCCTCAACTTCCTCTTCTGTAAAATGAGGAAGGTGGATTAAATGCTTTCCAAAGTCTCTTCTATTTCTAGAATTTTGAAAGGAGTCTATAGGGATGTGTGAACTTATGCTGCAGGTATGCTATAGAGCTGTAGGCAATATGCATCAGATACAGAAATAAAGGTTCTATTTTGCATTTAGAGGTCAGATAAAGTAAATTATACAATACCATTTGCCAGCAGCTCTTCTGGAATGAGCTAGAGTAAGGATCCTGATTTGGTATTTCTTTTAAATCAACTTTTCTCTAGCAGATTGGTCACTGTTGAAAATTCAAATATGACCTCTGAGGAGGAGGATGGACACCCGGAGATGTCACCTATTTCCACACTCATTCTGATTCTTTTGAATGTGGTGAACTTGCAACTAACTACTCACCTTCAGGGTTGGATAGCCTCCAGAGAAAGCCAGGCAAATTCTCACAGTGCTCCCATACTGAATATCTTCAGAGGAGTCAGGATTTCATATAAACCTCTGGTGTTCTCCTCCTCCTTGGAAAAGCAGAGAATGTGGAGGCTTTCCCTCATGCCCTCAGTCTTAATAGCCTTTTGGGTGAGAGGTTTCAGCATTTTTATCTGAAGAATGAAAGGATTGGACATCCAGTGATCACCTGGATTGATGCCTGAGTGACCTCAAACATGTCACCTAATCTTGAAGAGCCTCTGTTTTCTCATTTGTGAAACTATGGCACTGGATTGAATGACTTCCAAGGTCCTTTCCAGCTCTACACTTATGATCCTATGGGTTGATCATTAATAATAATCATTTATTTACTACCTAACATGT